CAGAAACCGGCAAATAAATAGGCGATCGAATTTTAGAGGGGTCGAAATTTTGGAGTTTTCACGGTACTAATTATTCCATTTCAATGAAACTTAGTATAAAGATGCTCTAGGACAATGTACAAACTAATTAGTTTTGGGTAAAAATCTGTTCATATTAATTCCCTAATAAGCATAATAATTCATAATTTTTTGGTTCTAATCACATTTCAATTAAACTTGGAGACATAGATTTTCTGTTACATTGCGCAGAACTCATTAGTTTTACACTCAAATCTGGTCATATTAATTTTCTGATTTGCATAATTAGTTTTCAGCTAAATAATTTCGAATTATATTTAATGTGTCTCCAATACTCTCAGCACATGGGAGTTCTTTCTAAGCTTTCTTTGATTTTGAACTATAAACTTTAAACTGAGATGCCAATTTCAGAAGCTATTTAATATTGCTTGTCTTGAATAGGTGTAGTTTTCCAGTATAATCACTACAAAACGAAATGCTCTATGGGTTAGATGATAAATTTGATCATATTCTGATTTGGTTGTGGTGTACACCACTTCAACCTCTAATCCACCTGACCAATGAAAATCTTGTTTGTAGTAGCTCTTCAAGATGTCTCTGCCAACTAGCAGTCTGTAACATAAGTTGTGATTGGTTTCTGAACCTCAGAGACATGAACTCAATTTGCTTTGTTGGTAATTAATTTGTTAGAGGCGATATACACTGCTGACATCAGATTGACAGAATCGGCATATACATGTAACCGAAAGTTATTATTCCTCATGACTTTCTATATGTACAACTCTATATGGTATTTCTTGTTATATATTATTTATGTACCAAAATACTATATTTTCATAATTTACAACGTTTATATTAATAATTGTTCCTTAGTTTGCAGTCACGGAAGAAACAGTGGGAAGCTGAAGAGGAAGAAAGGCGGCAAAATATCCCTGACCCTGATATGCCAGAGGGTCATAAAGCTATGCCACAGAAAGAGAGACTTGAGACACTTGAAGTACTCAAACAAAGTAAGTTAATGTGATCTACCAGTACTGTAAAATCTGTATTAAAAGCCGCGACTTCTATTAAAATAGTACAATGCAAGAGAAGGGATACGGTTTCTATTAGAGCATCTACACATATGAGAAATGATGAATTTTTGGTTCTTAATTGTTCAAAAAAAATGGGTGCAATTGGAACTTCTATTAGGGTTGCGGCTTCTAATTTAATGGTTATTTCCTTTAACACATTATCAGCCATTGGCGGTTTGTTGTTCCTCTGACTGTTTATAACTCTGAGTACACACAAGAATAGCCTGGTGAATCACTGTAATAACTATGTAGTTGTCACAGAATCTAATTGGTCTAATTGGCTGTCAATTAGATTAACAAACCTGGAGTATTATCATATTTGTATTAAGTGTAAAATAAAGGGGCCTATTTTTTTTTCACTTATTTTGCTACTGCATGGCACGCTCTGATGAAAGATTGATTACTTGCAAAATGTGTGCACTGTCAGCAGCAACAACAAAAATGTCCTTGAAGAGGCATTTTGAATAACACAAATTGCTATATTTTTATATTGCGTGACCATGACTTCAGTACATTACTATGGGCACACTGACTATTTTATTCATAGATATTTCAAAGTCTCTCGATCATAGATAATGTCTAGTCTAGTATAGTATTCTGACTGATCAGCTCACTCACAGTGTTCTCTTTATCTTCTTAATTTTACAGAGGAAAAAGAATTAAATAATGAAATCCAGAAACTACCAATAACATCAGCGACCCTAAGAGCTCGAAATAAAAAAGCAGAACTAGAAACACGACTTGTAGAAATTGAGGAAGCAATCAAGATTTTCTCACGACAAAAAGTTTTCGTCAAAATCGATGAATAAGTTTTCAGGCTCTTTACATTGAATTTTAGAAAGCTGTGAATGATTTTTATATAAACCATTTATAAACCTTTCATAAATTTTAAATCACAATGATTTAGGCGAGGAATACCACTCATATGGAATTCTAAGCAGATGGCCTTGGACTTTATGTGACAATTTGCCTGCTTCCTTGATACTAAATTGTAGTGACAACACTACTTACAATATTTGAATATGTATCTGAGTATATTGTATGAGGTCTATGTTACACATTCGGCTGCGATTGAGGGAGTTCATCCAGAGAAGATGTTTTATATCGCTCATGGCTTTTTGAAATTAAGTGTAGCTTCATAGCTGGTAATGATTTGATTGTCAAATTAATTGGATTGTACCAATTTCTGATAGGGGGAGAAGATACAAATGAGATAATGTATCCATCTGTTACTCGTTACACCCCTATTTTATTTTAGGCTGTGTTGGATCTAATCATTAGTTAAAGAAGAAATGTTCCATTTTGTAGGAACTCCATGAATTATTTTTAATTTTAAAAATCAATGTAAAAATAAATGTTTAGGAGCAAATTTTTTAAAGTAAAGAGTCATTTAAAAAATGTTTGAATCACAACTGATCGACTGTATGTATTATGAAAAAAAATGAATTGGCAGCAATTAATCTACTAGACAAAACCACATCACTTGTCCCCAATGTTCTCTCATTACAATCACTGTTTTAAGTGCATATGGGAAATCTTAGTTTTTAACTTATTGGAAAATAACTCAAGGGTTCAAAGAAGGGACTGAAATTTGATATACTCTGTACCAGAAATTGATAATGCTTTGAAAAGAGGCTATGTCATAACTGCAGGTGAACACTATGTAGTTTTGCTTACATGCAGTACATTGCAATATGCAATATGACTGAAAGTGGTAACTGTCAAATGTCATTACCTTATTACACAAAGCCTTTTACTTTGATCGACCAGGAGATAATTTTAGTTTGTCTGTATGTCTGCATACCTGCATTTATTGCAACCATGTGAAATTTGTTACCATGTGAATTTTTTTTTCCATTTTTTGATGGTTCAGTCAATTTTTAGGATTACTGGTATGTTTTTTTAAGTAAAAAATGTATATAATCTATTTCCATATTTTAAAATTGGAAAATGTATTAATACCCAAAATAGTTTAGAAAAAAATACTTTCGATTTTTGTAATTGTTTTAATGAAGTCAGCATTCATTCAAGGTCTGTTTAAATGATTATTTCCAGTCCATACTCAACTTTGAATATCTTTACTGTGGTTGTTCTTAAGCCCCTACTCGTATATACACATCAGCAAAGTTTGTATTGTTAGAGGCTTTTATTGTTTGGTGAAATATAGGTGTCTGTCTGTCTGTCTTCTTTCTTCACATTTATATCCTATATCTGTACAAAATAGTGTATTTTTATACAATATTGAGAAAGTATATTGGTTAATGATGTTCACATTGCTTGCCTTAGTCTTGTAAGTAGATTTGTATATGTCAGAGTGACTCTTAAATGTGTGCCATCCCACCTTTGGAGTTGAAGTGTACATCAAGTGCAGTTCTGACCAGTTGACATTCACTGTACATAGTATATATGATAGCTGGTTAGAAAATGCATATTATGAATACAAGTAAATTAATTAATGTAATATATATCATCTGGTTATTGTCTCCAGATTTATTTGTTTGTAATAAGAGCACTGATCATGACATTTTACCATGAGGAACATAGCACTTAAAATGAATTTTAAAAATGTTATAATATGCCCTCATGCGGAATATATACCGTTTCTTTTGTTTTTATCCATGCATGGAACAAGTATCGATATATAATCATCAAATAATATCAATCACCAAATGTATCATTTTATCAGAGCTTTCAAGATGGCTGTTGTGTATACAGATGACATGCAAGTGGAATAATTTTCTTTGATTGTACAGGATAAACTGCTCTACAAAAAAACCTTTCTCTGGCTTGAATGTTTATATTATGAGCGTAATACCATTGCAGATATCATCTTTGCCAATTTAGAATCACACATATCATCCATATTGTTTCTCATATCATTGTAGCAACACGCTGTCAATTGATATATGTATGTAGATAGACTGACATCTTGTTTTATTGGCTGTTCCAAAAATCACAATTGTTCGTCTTTTTGGCAATCTTGTGTAGTTTTGATGAAAAGATTACCTAGATCTACAAACGTTAAACAAAATTTCAGTATTCAGTCAAATGGTTTTGCCGTCAGAGATAAAGTGCATATGTTTGTATATATTGCATCTGTCACTCATTTTATTACTTAAATATAATTATCAATGTTTTGTCATTTTCACTCTGTGAATACACAATCTTTCAAAATATTTGATTTTAGCAGATGCTCTACATTGTCGAGTATAACACTATAATAAAGAGATTTAAGTCCAATTTGACTACTATTGTGTCAGTATTCTATGAAATGGATGTAAAATAAATTGATCAATATGCTAATACTTTTCTCAAGATCGCAATTTTTTTGTTCACCATATAGTTGGTACTCCTGGCTTAGGTGTTTTTTTTCCCAAGAGTTCAGTCTGAAAACTACCAAGTACTACTATATTCTAGATAATGAACAACTGCACAACAAAACAGTTGTTGATTTGAAAATTATTGCTTTCCTTCGCACATATACGTCATTTTGACGTCACGGAAGGAATGGAATATAGATGCTCGTTGTTTTTTACTCCCATGTGTGAAGCACACAATGGGAGTCTTTGCAGTTACCCTGTCTGTATGTGTGTGTGTGTGTGTGTCTGTCTGTCCGTTCCACTGATATCTCAAGAACCGTATGTTGGTTTTTAATAAAACTTGGTGTATAGATGCTCTGGGCTAATGCGCAGATTTGATTAGGTTTTAGTTGAAACCATACATATTAATAACCTGATTTGCATGATAATTAGCTAATTTTTAGTTGTTCCATGACTGTTCCACTGATATCTAAAGAGCCATTCATTAGATTTTGATGAAACTTGCTACATAGATGCTCTGGACTAATGCACAGATGTGATTAGTTTTGGGTAAAAATCCATGCATATAATTAACCTAATTTGCATAATGCATGATTAGTCAATTTTCGGCTTTTCCACTGATATCTCAGGTACTAATCATCACATTTCAATAAAACTTACATAGATACACAGATATGTGAACTATTAATTACCTAATTTACATAATTAATCAATTTTCAGCTTTTGATATTTCAAGTACTAGGTATTACTTCATTACTTTTCAATGAAACTTAGTACATAGATGCTCTGGAACAATCCAGAGACCTGATTTTAAGTAAAAATGTGTGCTTATTAATCAACTAATTTGCATAATTAGTTAATTTTTGGCTTTTACAGTGATATCGCAAGTACTAATTATCCATTTCAATGAATCTTGGTACATAGATGTTCTAGGACAATGCACAGACCAGATTAGTTTTGGGTTAAAATCAGTGCATATTAATTACCTAATTTGCATAATTAGCCAATTTTCAGCTTTTGCACTGATATCACATGTACTAATTATTCCATTTCAATTAAACTTAGTACATTGATGCTCCAGAACAATGCACAGACCCACTCAGTTTTGTGTTAAAATCAGATCATATTAAGGTAGAGATGCAGGTTGTAGGGCACTTGCGAGTGATTTTTTTTATTTTTTGCTTTTTATTTTTCAAACAGTCTTGGCTATATAGACTGTTAAAATTTTGTACAATTGTGAATAGTAGAACATACTCAAAAAACGATTTTAAAATATAGATAACAGGTGCAAGCATTCTCTCTTTTGAATGCTTAGCAAGATTTAGCAAGGCTGTACATAAATAATAAAAAAGAAACATGGTGAAAAAAGGAAATGATATTATGCACTATATTTAACTTTTAACAAAACGATAATACATTCAAATTTGGAACTGTTACAGCCATTTTAATTATAAGCATTAGCAAACTTTTTACTGAGTGAATTGTTATGCAAATTAGCAATTATCTCAGCTTCTTTTTAGTGCACATCCCAGAACTTTAAAAAAAAATAGCTCCTAGACGCTTTGACCTTTTGTTTTGAAATTTTCATAAATGATTGACAATGTGTTTATCTTCGAAACGCCGTCGGGGCATTGTTTTTGGTTGAACAGTGTTACAACAATCGTACAGACAACTAGTCTGGGTGTTAATTTATGCATAAACTTGAAGTAGTGAAATTTGAGCTGCCGCCCTGCTA